TAGTTTTCAAAGGATTTCGTCTTATACATTATCGGAGAAAAAGACGTTCCGACTTCTTTCCTTTCAATTGGTGAAAACCACAGGTCGCTAGCTATTACTGTTCTCGAGATATTCGTTCTACGCTCACCCCTTCTTAATTCTGGCGCCAACAATAGGTTAAGACGACTTTGACTGATTTGCAGACTATTAAACTTAAAAACTAAGATTTTGACTGAAATTTAAGACTTGATGATAAAAGTATTTTTTAGTACGTCTCGAAACTTTAGGAAATTATAAAGAATTTAATGAATTAAAAATTGTATGAAAATATTTAATAGACATTTTCAATTTTTTCGTGATAAATTACTATGAAAAAACCTTGAAACTCGTCTTAGAGAACTCTGGATCTGTTAGTCTATGAAACTTCATAGATTTTTCAAGAATATAAATCTTATAAAGAGTTTGTACGATTGACACTTTAGATAGATTTCAATCTACAATTAATCTTAGATATCATTCAAAGTAAGATTTTTATTTTCAACTACGAATTTTCTTTTTGGTTGATGTAAATTAAACAAAAAAAATTTTCATATCAAGTAACAAAGAATTTCAATCATGACAAGCTCAAAATAATATATCAAAGTCATCATTATATGACATTTTTTTTCTTTAGTTTTACTTTTCTTAACTATGCTTTAATAATTAATAATAATTTTTGATATTTTATGGGAAAAAAAGCAATCAACGATTTAAATCAGTATAAATATTATAGAGTGATGATCAGATGTTTACAATACTAATGCTTTAACTAATATGATCAATAATAATTTAATTTATATGATATTTAATTAGTATTTTCAATAAAATACATTTTATTATTACAAAGTTGCAAGTTGTTTTTATACGATTATTTCGTATAAATAATGAAATTTGAAATAAACTAATCTCTTACTATGCTAATATATTAACAAATATACTCACCGATTAAGATTTAGATGAATATTGTTGTTGTTTTGAAGTTTCAGTATTAAAAAACGATCAAAATCATCTTTTGGACATTGAAAAACTACGCAAGCTGGACGATTTGCCTCTTCAGTAGATTTTCTAGATAATGTTCTTCGTTCTGCAGTCCAAAGTGCATCACGCACATTTCTTGTAACATAAAAACCTGGTCCAAAGTCTGTTCCTTTAGGATGGTTCCAAAACAAACCGATTCCATTGAGACATATAGAATGTGCTGCATATTCTGGACATCCGTGAAAAAATGTGTAATATTCTTTGTTCTTCTTGTTATTTTCGTTCCATAAGGAGTGTAGATGTTTATTTTTACTTGCTTCAATTGGATCTTTATTTAATAAAAGAATTTTTAATAAACGAAATTGACCACCATAAGTAGGATAATTTTGTTAATCCATTCTTCTTTTTGTTTCAAATGGATGATAAGGAAATGTAATAAACATATTATCTCGAATTGAATCATAAATAAGTTGTCGATAACCATAACCATGAGCATTAAGTTCTGTATTAAAAATAATATTTTTTAGTTTTTCTTCATAATAAGGCATGAGAACTTGACAAATATGATTATCATCTTCAATTGAATCGAGATAAAAAAATAAAATATCTTGAATACTATAATGATCTTGTTCATTAATTTGAAATTTTTCAATATTATTTCTGTACCACATGTCAGCGTCAATAGAGGTCACTCTATTACCGCTAACTTCCAAATTGTGTTCTATTGGATTTTCCTCCACTTTCTAAGTGGTCAGTATATATTTTTCTCTGCACTTTTCCAGTGATTATCCTTCTTGTTGTTTTTCTCTTCAGTTGATGTTGAATCTTCCTCCCCGGTGGTCACAAGTTGTTTTTCTCTTCCATTATCTTTTCGTCCTTTCATATTGTTCTTCATTATTAGATTATTATTATTATATGTTTATTGTTATATTCATATTAATAAACCTATATATATATTCAACGCACTCATCTCTTTATCAACATAACCAAAGTCAGCATGCTTATTTACCTTATTTACGTATGAACTCTCGTTCCCGTTGCAGACCGGGATTAAATGTACTGATCATCTAGCCAAAACCAATAGTGTGAGGCTAGAATCATAATTTCCCCAAACGAGAGTCTTACACTACTCTTCTTCTACTTTTGTCGTTTATAAACTTATCAGATAATTAAAAATAAAGTTTTCTATTACAAAAATCTTATATGAAAAAACTAGCTGAAATCGTTTTCTTTTAGAAAATATGAACATATTTTATCAATGAAATGTATTATGTGTACTTGATTATGAAGTCAAAAGTAATAAGAAAAGCTGTTCGAATATAGAGCTGTGAAAAAATGTTGTATTTTTATGAGTTGAATTAAGCAAAATACAATTAATCTATTTGCTCTACAGGATAATTTAACTTTTGTCTAATCTGAAGAACGAAATAGAAAATAATTTTAATAATAAATTATTATTATTTTTATTCAGAATGACACAAGATAAACAAATGTGTAGGATGAGTAACACATACAATTATAATAATAAGATAACATGGATTTTTCAGATATATATAAATTTGACATCTATGAGTCGAGCAACACAAAAAATAAATTTTTAGATAAACCAACCATTGATTTATCTTTTTTGTTCTTTCTAAATGAAAATCATTTTTGGGTGTGGGTGTGGGTGTGTGGGTGTGGGTGTGGGTGTGGGTGTGGGTGTGGGTGTGGGTGTGGGTGTGTGGGTGTGGGTGTGGGTGTGTGTGTGGGTTAAGAGGTACCTATCCTAACACCTATACCTACGTCGACATCCATATCTCATACCTACCCACACCCTAATTATGAATGAATTTTTTTAAATTTTTTATTATCATTTTGTAGCACTATTAATAAGCATTCGAATGATAGATAAATTGACCTTGTGGTCTGTCTCCATTGCCCACAATAGAGAACTGACTCCAATAAATGACAACGTCTTACATGGGTATATGACCATAAGGTATCAATAGGACCGTAGCCAGTCAAATCACATTCTATCGATCTGATTTTTGTAGTAAGAAATCTGTAAGGCCTAGTGTGACTATTTCGTAAGAAAAAATTGAGAATTTTTGAGGAGCCGATTTCATTGCTTATCGATCCCCCTCGTTTATTATTTTCTTCATAAGTATATTAGAATCAATAAATTGAAAGCAAACAAAAGCATACACACTAATACTCTCAAGGAATGTTTTACATTCTTTTGGAAAGTCATGATATAGCAATTGGCAATGAATGGGAAAGTTCGTCAGGCAAATCACATAGACCTTTATTAAATGCAGCAATAATGTAGTCGAGAGAAAAGAGTTTGGTAAATGGTGCTAAACTTTCAGCATTTTGAAGAGCAGATACTGTTAGAAGAACGCTGGTATTTTTCGTTGTTTCTTCAATCATATCTACTGGCCAATCATTAAACTTTTTCAAGAAATATGATAATACTTTTTCAGTAAACTGTTCTGATAGAATTAATGTATTCTTGGCTACTGCTGGCCAATCATTTTGAGTCGCACTAGCAATAAGATTGGCAATAGCATTATCGACAGAAATATCACCAAGAATAAACTTTAGAATTTTCAAAGCCGCAGCAGTCAATTCCCAAATGGTCGTTATACAATCACTTGCCGTTATTGCACAACCCACAACACATGTAAAAGACTGAAATGATGGGCACAGCTGCCAACAAACAGGACCAACTCCAATAAATTTTTTATCGCATGGTACATAACAAAGTGCACCACTTTGCTCATATTCACTTGAACAGATCATGGGTGTACCAGCACCTCGACCATAGCTTTTACGTATAAAAACACGTGCATATGAATATTCATAATTTGAATCATTGATTGAATCAATTGAAAACAATCGTTTGAGGAATGTGTCATGTTTTGATAATAAACGAAATGAACTACTGGTACCTACGCAAAAGATGCCAACCGCTGTCATATTTCCACAATCTTCCCAGCAGACAGGACCGATGCCTATGTATCCATCTTGACATTTAGGATAACAAAGAAGACCACTTTTGTCTGGTTGATCAGTAGGGCAAGCATTCAATGGATGTCCAACACCACGTCCATATGTTCGACGCCAACAAAACGGTTGATATTTACGAAATAGTTCATGTGCAATAATTTCGACATTCGGCGAAACGTCAGTGTAGAGCAATTCCATGTCAAAAATATCAGTATCATTCGTTAAATACGAACGTAATTTGCTCATTTCCATCTTTTCACTACATGTTTAAACGATAATGTTAAACATAGAAATAATAGGAATTTTTTCATATCAAAATTCACTTACATTAAATATTCTTCGAATTGTGCCTTTTGAATCAAATTATCGGCGCTAATTACCAACTGACTTACAATTAAGAAGATACAAAGATTCATTGGTATTTTAATTCAATTTTTCGGTGTAATAGCTTTGCTTGAGCAACTTTTTTTCTTCTAACTTGCAATGATCTGAAACAAAGTAAATAATGAAACGCAGTTGCTTGAAAGAGAAACGAAACTCTTCTAATGGGATTTTCGTTTCAATACCATTACTGATCAAATGATGAAAAAAAAAACAAATTGTTTTTTGTTTTTATTTTTTTGTTTCTCGATCGTGAATTTTTAACACATTCGACACTAAGGGACTCACCAGTGGATCTCACATTATTTTTACAAGAAACTTGATAGAGAAACACTTTTTTTTCGATTATTTTTCTTAGCCAGAGGCCATGCATTAAACGTCATCTGTTCTGCCTTTAATATTATTCCATCGTTTATTGAAAAGTGCGATGCTTCTGATTAAAACAATCGAGACAAAAGGTTTTTACTTTCTTTGCAGCTGCATGACCGACTTCTCTTGATTTTTGTTGACTGATTTTATCATAGCAGCCAGCACAGTGTCTTCGGACATCGCGAGCAGATCCTTCTTTTTCTTCGAGCTTGTGATCAGCAAGTTCGCGCTTCGTTTGGCCTATTGGTTTTTGTCTTGGACCTGATTGCAGCTTCTCGAATGGCATGCCAAGCAGTAAAGATCTCACAAGACTTTCACGAAACTTCAGGATAGTCATATTGCTTGTTGAATGGTGTTCCTTGTATACCAGATAACTATTCACTATAGCCGTCCCAAAAATCAATTCTAATGCCACCTTTCAGTACCATTGTATAGATCGTCTGAGGCATGTATCATATGCTGATAATTGATCAGATAAATCAGTACCTTGTCTTGCTTTGTTATAATCTACTACAGCTTGTGGCTTCGTAATTGACCCATTCTGAAAAATTTTTTTTCCAGTGCTTACCACAGCTGCTGAATGCGAAAGTCTTGTGAATATCATCAAAACATCCTTTTTGTCTTTCCACATGACCAATTTTATTTCTTCTTTATTCTGAAGCTCGTACGCTTCCCCACGCTTGAGCTTCTTCTAAAGGGTGTGGGTGTGGGTGTGGGTGGGTGGGTGTGGGTGTGGGTGGGTGGGTGTTGGTGTGGGTGGATGTGGGTGTGGCGTGGGGTGGGTGTGGGTGTGGGGTGTGGGTGTGGGTGGGTGTGGATGTGGGTGTGGGTGTGGATCAGCTCTTAACGCACTCACAATCAGACCCACACCCACACACCCACCCACACCCACACCCACACCCACACCCACACCCACACCCAC